AAGGGCATTTAAATGGTCATTGGATAAACATATGGATGATAATGGAATAGTGTAGGTTAGATGGGCTTCAGATTGGTTTCACAGGTCGGCGCAACATCGAGGGCCAAAGGGCCTGTACTGCGCTGTAATGTTCTATGTTCTATGTTCTATGGGAAGAGTTATAAATACATTCACAGTTGGAAATAATGGCATTTGTGTTCAAATTATCAGGCTGCTAGTCTCTAATGTCCCAGCGAAGTTTTGAGAATGTCTAAGTAGTTAACGTTTTAAATTGTTGATTTACCTCTGAGATAAAATGGAGTTCATATCTCAAGCATCGTTTGTTGCATTCTTTTCCTGCATACACTATTCCTGTAAATCACATTGCAATGGAAAATGGGGTCTGAGAGAGCAGGTCTTCTGAATATCCATGAAACTCATGGTCACAGACAGCCTGCCAGGATCCAGGAGCGAAGCACCACTAAATGTTAAATGTCTGTGCGGCTCACCCTGCAGGAATGCAGAAGGAGCATTCGCTCAGATTGAAAGTCAAATAAAATCATAAGTATTTGTACTTGGGCTGGAAACTTGGCTCGTTTGCTCTTTAAAAAAAATCTCAAGAAGAGCTCTCACCATCAAAGACAGTTCCAGGTTTAAAAGGTTACCAGGTTGAGCATGAAAAGAAATGGAACTAAATCCTCAGAAGCTGCTGCCTCAATTTAAACTCAAGACATGTAGTCAAGAAAATAGCCAGCACCGCCTGCCTGTCGAGAAATTGCCAAGATATTCCTCTCTCCCCAAACAACTACTGTGGCTCTTCATGTTCTCATCCCAAGTATAGCACTTCCTTTCCGTTGCATAGAACTAATGTCAATATGATGTATGAAAACAAGTTAACAAAAAAAGGTCACACATTGATAACTGTGCACTTTCTTGGGGGAAATAAAAATCTTTTATTGCACAGCCCAATAAAAGTTTCAATCATCCAGATTCTTGAAAGCATCAAAAAAGTGAAAGTGCAAGAACTTAAACATCTTCACTTTGTATAAATAAGCATTATGCAATCAACAGCATAGAGCAGACAGTCAGAGATGTTAATCAAGCATTTTATTGGGTGTGGCAGGAGTTTGAATGTGGCAAGTTAAAAGGTAAGTTATTTCACATATCTTACTTTCACAGAAGGCTTTGTTATTTCCATGAAGTGTATAGTTAGCGAATGGACATGTAAATGCCATGCCTTTTCATGGGATTGTTATGAGCTATACCTTGGCATGAGGGACTATAGGGGCTGGTTTGGGGAACAAAAGGAAGATCCTTTGAACTATGCTTCAAAAAGGTTTCTTCATTAAGAGTATAGCTCATGACACCCCTGAGATGCTGTGAATTGCATTTCTTTTAAAAGCTGGACTGACTCCATGAAAATAGTGAGAAGGACATTCCTATCCCTGCAATGGAATCAGGCAAGGTGCAAACCCATGACCGGATCCAGCCCACACTTAAAAAGGCATTCCTGAAAACCGAAAAGCCTGAGAATGAGGTCATGAGTGTTTGAACTGGGACAAGTCTGGTAATTTTTAAGGGCTCCTGAGACATCTTGACTGCAAATATCCAGACCAAAGATTAATTTTGGGGTTCCGGAGAAAAGAATATCTACTTATAGGAAAATGTAAGGTACAATTGTGAATAAGGTTATCCATTGTGTTAAAGATGAAAGGGGAGAGTTCTTTTCTATCATTTTAAGCACAGATGGCCTACCAAAGCGTTCAATCAATAGTGCTTTTAGGCATTACTGTAACAGCTTAAAAAAAGAATAAATCATGTTATCCTTTCAGCTGAAGGCTGGAAGTTCAATTTTCTTTTTCTTCAAGTTATCAGTCTCTATGGAGAATGTGATACAAAACTTTTACCTGGTCTTAGTGTGAGTGCAATCCTTTGAGGCGCGAGTTGAATGACATCTGATTGTGATGATCCTGATCCCTTATTACTCAATGGTAAGTTTCTTTCTATCTGTATGCTGCTTTCAGGGTTTTCTATAAAGTGAATATTGCATCCTCTTTTAATCAAATTTTCCCTAAAGTCACATCTTGAAGAGAAGCTTCTCTTGTTGCCAAATTCCTTAAAGATCAAAAGCAAACAAAGAAAATAAGAACACTTCAGTAACCACAACAGACACAGTGGGCCAAATGTAAATTTTTCAACAGAATGAGTTACAAGAGACAATTCAATCATTGTTCTCGCTTAACCATCTTAGGACTGTTCCGGCTTTTCCAATACAAGATTTCCTCTTCACATGATATATGCTTCCTGTGCACTTTTCAATCAACTTTAACTCTTTAACGTCATTATCGTCATTCAATAGAAGCCTTTCCTTCTCATTTTTGGGAGGCAAAGAATTGCAGTTATACTAAAAGAATATCAAGTGTCAGTCCACAGATGTATTTACAAACCTCAAATGTAATTTTCAAAGACTCTTTTCTGTCTACTGAATTTTCGTGCATGGGTGAAGTAAAGTGATATGACAAAGTGCTGTGCAAGGACAGGATACAAAAACTGAATTGTAGTTGTACAAGGTGGTCTCAAGGACACTGAACCATAGCAACCAGCATAATGAGTCAAAATAGCATGAAAAATGCATGATTACTATAACAGCCATTGTTGTAGCAATCTACTTTGGGAGAGGGTTTGGTGAAGATTAGCTACATTCAACTACAGTACAATGACCCATGCATGAGTGTAAGCTTAAGGAAATCTGAAGGATCTATAAACATTGCTGTGCCCACTTGCACATACCAGCCTCTCCCTTTTCCAAATTTCCTATAAATGGTATTAGTCAGTGACACTCTCAGCCTATGAATGAATTTAAACAAAAACATCAGTGAAAATAGGTGTTCATCACCTTCACTACTTCCCAAAATATTCTGGGCTTGATTCTACCCTACTTTAAATGCAGACAATAGTAACCAATCTCACATTCTACTTCGAAAATAAGTTCTAAATAACTTTTTTTTAAAATGATGCCAATGCACAAAGGTTAGCAACTGTTACTTGCTACCGCAATATGAATTTTCTAAAAAAAAGGAAGTGTGGTCAGTATTTAAATGTGGCAGGCACAAAACACTAAATTTCAAATCCACAACTAGTTTATTTGCATTGCTGTAAATAGGAAAAATGAATACGTTTCTAACAAATATAAATAGTATTTTTAATGATATTTATCTATGGTGGGAACTGAATTTTATAAGTAGACACGATCACCCTGAACAACAAAATGGAAATAATTTGCTTGCCTCCACTTTTATCTCATCAACTGCCAGAGCTCCCACTCACATTTGCATCGACACCAGGATGCATCCTTTCAACATTCTACTTGAAAGCCTCCCAAAGTATTCAAAATTCCCACTCTATCTATTCCTCATGACATTACCTACTGTTCTGCTATCCCAAATGTATTTGATTCAAAATTTGCTTCTTTATTTTTTCTATGATATAGAAGCCCTACAGTGTGGAAGCAGACCATTTGGCCCATCGAGTCCACACTGAGCCTCTGAAAAGCAGCCTACCCAGGCCCAACACCCCTCCACTCTATCCCTGTAACCCCATACGTCTCATGGCTAATCCACGTAGCCTGCACATCCCTGGTCACTATTAGCAATTTATCATGGCCAATTTACTTAACCTGCACATCTTTGGACTGTGGGACGAAACCAGAACTCCAGGAGGAAACCCACACGGACAAGGGGACAACGTGCAAACTCCACACAGACAGTGACCCGAGGGTAGAACTGAACACAGGTCCCTAACGCTGTATGACAGCAGTGCTAACTGCTGATCCACCGTGCTGCCCCTGATATCACCCCAACCAATCATGCACCTTCTTCTGTCTAAGCATTAGTAAGCCCTAGTGTCTTTTCTGGCCTTGTTGCATTCTCTATCACTTCAATAGGACTGGAGCAGAAAGGGTCTCACTAAGTTTACTCCACATTGATTTTAGGTTGAGTGAGTCAGGCACCATGTTACACCCTATCTTGCCAATTCCTACCAACATTGGTTAAAATCAGTTGCCCGTGTTTATCTATTTATCCTCACTGAAGTGACTTGGGATGTTTTGCAATGTTAAAAGCACTATAAAAATACAAACTGTGGGTATCATTCTTGCACAGTTCTAAAAAGGTTATGGTTTTCTTTTTCCTTATTTTCCAAGCCTCAAATATCCACTCAATTACTTTAATGAGCAAAAAACAACGTTCTTTAGAAGCAGAGAAAGAAGAAACTCAAGCCCATCTGCACATTGTCGTAACACTATTCTGGAGGCAACATAATTAGCAACAAGCATTTAAGTACATTGTTGGAAAAAATTTAATTAATACTGAAGAAGAATCATTAGAGGCAAATTATTATTGTTTCTTTCTTCTTTTTTTGAGGCTGAGGGTTGACCTTATAGAGGTTTATAAAATCATGAGGGGCATAGATAAGGTGAATATCAAAGGTCTTTTCTCTATGGTGGAAGAGTTCAAAACTAGAGGGCATAACTTTAAGGAGAGAGGAGAATGATTTAAAAGGGACCCGAGGGACAACTTTTTCCACACACAGCGTGGCTTATATGTGGAATAAACTATCAGAGGAAGTAGTAGATGCAGGTACAGTTACAACATTTGAAAGACAATTGAACATGTACATGAATAAGAAAAGGCTTAGAGGCATATAGGCCAAGCACAGGCAAATGGTTTGGGAAACCTGGTCAGCATGAACAAGTTGGACCAAAGAGACTGTTCAGTGCTGTATGATTCTATAAAACTATATGTTGCCAGACCTGCTGAGTATCTCTACCACTTTGTTTTTATGTCAATTTATTTGGTTTATAATATCAGAATCCATGTTATACTAAGAATAAATCTTGCATGGATAGGTTTGATGGAACATCCAACTTTTCTAAACCATTCACCTAATACAACACTGGAAATATTATTCATTTCCATCAGATCATACGAAATCTTTAAATAGATAAATAACTATACAAAATGTGTGTAAAAGAATGGATAAATAATGTATCAATACCTACAGGTAATTAAAATTAAAATTCCGGCTAGTTGTCCTTTTACTTATCACACCATCTTAATCAGAATTTTTTTAATATTATATGATAATCGTCAGTGTCTGTTAAATGCCAATATAAAATGGTTTATAAATAAACAGGGACAATGTACAATAAACAAACAGCTGGCGGAGACGTTTAGAGTATTTTTCCAAATTGGAAGCTTTCCTTTCAGTTCTAAGTCACCATTGTACTGTTTCTGTGGTTTGTAGTACCCTCAAATCTTCTTGATTGAATTAAAGTCTTCATAGCTCAGTCAGCAATCAATAACTCTAGATTTATTTTCAAAAGCTTAAAGCACTGGCCTGATCCCTGATTAATTCTCAGCTAAAGAACCCCATATTTAAACTTTAATTCTATCTAAGAATTAAAAGATCAAGTCTATTCCAACCATCAAGAATAAATTGCAAAAATAGAGGATCTTCACATTGGCCTCATTTCTGAACTTGGGAAGAACAAAATCACAGACACAAATAGTTTTACTCTTCTAAAGTGGTGACTCACACTTGTTTTCAATTCAATGCTTCTTTATAAGTAACTCATTGTAAGAACATTGGGGGATATAAAGAAAAACAAAACAATTAAAATGAACATTTTTCCTTTTTTAGAAAAACAATCTGAACATCAAAGTCCCTGTAGCATTGATTAAAGTTCCATGTAAATACCTACTTATTACAATCCTTTAAATTGTCATTCTTACTGATGCAGACTTAAAGCAACTTGTAGAACAATCTGTGTATCTTCAATTAGAATCTATCATTGATGGAGCACCTTAAAAATTGTTACCAAAATGTAAATGTAAGTAAGAGATATTTGAGTACTTAAGCAAAAGAAAAAGTTTAAATAAATATATTGAAAAGTGAAAATCCAGAACTGGAGACTTTTATTTTTTAAAAAATTAACAAAAGGAAGTAATAGGAGGTACAAAATGAAACACGAAAATAGCTGCAAGGGATATTGAGACTAATAGCACAGGGCTTTAAAGAGAAAGGGAATATAGATCCATTACAAATGGATGCAGGCAAGTCTACCACTGGTTATAAAAAATATGCTAAATGAACAACTTGTATTCATTTTCACATTAAACAACAAAATCAGCACAGTGGAATCTAAACGTTGATCAAAGTGGGAATGTCACTAGACCTGATGTAAGTTTAAAAAGAATGGATCTTAAGATAGTGAAATACCTTCAAATAGATAGTTTCCATTCAAGGTTTAAAGAAAATTGCTCACCTAAATGCTCTGGATTCAGGAATTATGCTTTTGAATAAAGAAAATTGTGAATGTTGTTTATTATTTAAGGGAGGAATAAGCAAGTAACTGCAAATTAACTTTATTAGAGGGAAAATTAATGAAAGATATCGTTAAAGACAGTAACTGAGCTGTTAGATATATATTGGTTGATCAAATAGAGTAGGTATAGACTTATAAAGGAGAAGAACATGTTTGGGTTACGCAGTTAACTAGCAGGCAGAATGGGGAACGAAAATAGGTTGCTGTCTGTATGGACCATTCCACAAAAGAGATTCGGGTGCACCTGTCTTTACAGTCACTGCCACAGATGTTAGATCGGCCTTCTTGAGGGTGACTCCATAGAAGGTAAATGGCCTGGTTGGAGTCCCCAGCTGCACACTCAGATCCTGTGCGCACTAGCTGGTGGGGTGTATTTGCAGACATCTTTAACTTCTCCTTACCACAATGATGTGAGATGCCCCGCTGCTTCAAGAAGACCATTATCATCCCATCAAAAAATGAATCAGGCAACATGCCTTAATGACCACTGCGCAGTAGCTCTGACATCCATTATTATGAAGTATTTCAAGAGGTTAGTAATGGCACACATCAACTCCAGCCTCTCAGCTTGCCTTGATCCACTGCAATTAGTGTAAGGTCTCAACAGGTCCATGGCAGACACCATCTCCCTGGCTCTACACTCATCTCTGGAACATCTGGACAACAAGGACACCTATGTCAGATTCCTATTTATTGACTTTAGCTCCACTTCAACACCACGATTCCAACA